GTGATTAAATGTTTAAAAAATTTTTTGATATAATTTTTTTTTTAGTAAAGAGTAGAAATAGTGATGGGCATCTAAATATTAATTTTTTTCTGTTTTCATTGTTATTCAAAACCACAAATTTTGAAAAATCTTATATGTTTAAAAAATCTTTTCTTAAAAATATCTAAATATCTAAAATATATATATCTAAAATTTTTAAAATTAAATTATTCGTATAGATAAAACAGAGTAGATTATGTTTAATATAATACATTACGAAGAAAAAATTAAATTTTCACAAAATATTTGAAATTTTCAAGATACATTTTTATAACATATCCCTCTTGGAGTATTCAAAATTTTTACAAAATTTTGTATTAGACTATATGTATAAGTAAAATTATAATATTTAAAGTGATTCAAAATTTTCGTCATATATTTGAAATAATTCATTACATATTGGTCCCATCACAAAAGAAGAGTAAAAATAAGCTTTGAAATTTGTTTGAAAAAAATATAAATAAATAAAATATGTTTTTATAAAATTATCTAATATTAAATTTTAATAAATTTTATTTATTTTAATTTATTTTAATAATAAAATTTTCTAATATTAAATTATCTAATTACCTAATACCATATTTTAAATTTTTTAAATGCCTAGTCAATTCATGAGAACTGTATAACTTAATATATTAGAAATAATTTACGATTATGTCGCTTAATCATTAATAATATTATAATAATATCTCATCGTTTCACGCATCAAATTGAAACGTTCTCTTTTTTAACATTAATCTGATACTGTCCCTCGCATTTAAAGTATGTATGCGGAAGTGAACAACGATCAACTCATTTCAAGAATATTAAATGAGCTGACCTTATTCTACAATCTAACAGCCATCACAGTTATAATAAATTTTTGTTACAAGTCTTTTAAACTTACGATGATTTTTTTCATCGTTTTATTTGGTACAATTCAATATATTCAGCAATTCGTATTTTGCTCTTGAATAGCTAATACTAAAATGTGAAAATTAATCCCCCTGACAATAATTACGAGGATTGAAAATATTTACAACACAAATAATAAAAAAAATGTTTAAATCATAGGGCAAATATCCAACTAAATTTACTAAACGAAGATGTTATATTGATGCACACGTATCCTTAGATCATTTGAATTTATTATTTAATTATCCTATGTGCTTTTAGCGAATACTTATCCAATTTAACTTTATATTTTATTGAATATTGAATAATACTGAACGTTTTTCGAGATCAATTACACGTAATCCGAAAATTTTATTTTTTCTTTGTAAGGTAACCGTGATAAGAATATCAAAGCGTTGGTGATTGAATAAATAATGTGTAATTATCGCTAGCAAGAGTTGCCGATGTTGGACCAAGCAATTGTTACAGGCCGTTACAGTATAAATATTGCTAGTGACCGTAAAATTAATTACATTTAACACTTAAATGCCCTTGACAATTCTACCAGTATTAGCGATAAGCGTTTAATTAGCACCATGATTAAAATATTAAATTAGCGAAGAATATATACTGAAGAGAGAGTCTTTTGTTTGTTGGAACATAATTTAGTACCGTAAGCGAAATAGGCAAATATTAAAGAATTTTTCTTGTTAATTATTAAGTAATAACAGTTTAATGTTGTCTTATATCACAAAATTGACAAGGTAGAAAAAATTACCTTTTAATATTAATTATACTAAATAAATTTTGTTTATATCGACCGATCGATTGTGTGATTAATATCATGAAATCGATCGCATTTTGTACAAGTCTGGCATTAATGGCAGTGCGAGATTTATAATGAACGGATTAATTGATTTTTAATTATTATATATTTTTCAACATTTCAGTTTTAATTATAAATTCATATTCGACGCAAGTGAAATTATTATTGTACCAAAAACAGACTGAATACAGAAATATTGACGTCGTTCAGTTATATTCTATGTACATGCTGTAAACTTACGTATGCTATCCCGTATAGCATGTAAATATATAAAATAATTCTGTAAGATTTTCCAAAAATATGTGTGTTTCAGTCTATGCCATATACAATTCTTTAAGTTGACCTGTATGACGAAATCACACACGTAATGTTACAAGTAATCACTCTACAATTACAGCCTGTTCAACTTGAAACCGTCAGAGATTGGTCAAATATTGGCAACTCTTTATCGTCGAGAACACACAAGCGTGTAAATGTACATGGATAAATTGCCCAAAGGAAACATTTCTCAAGGGGCTTCTCAGGGAAATTGTTACTTTTCTTTTCAGTCGTTACATCCCGCAAAACACATACTTTCTTTCTTCTTTCTTTTTCCTCTTTCTCATGCAATTATTCTTTCGGAAAAGCTTTCATGAAATATGTCATCATATCGATCGGCAGCGGAAACACAATGGTAGAATTTTTCTCCGCTGATATCGTATTCAATGTCTAAAATTGAAAAAGTAGCGTAAAAATATGAAGATAGTGATACAGTATCACAACAGTATCATAATTATCGATAATATACTTGATCAAGAATGTATGAACAAAGAAAAAAATCTACACATATAGATGTATAAAGTTGATTAAAAATAATATTTATATTACCTGTAAATAACGAAGTTGTAAAGCAGCTGGTGAATCGCCGATGACCTCCGACGCTTCCCGCAGAGCCCTACTGGCTTTCTGTTCACCTTCTGCAGCAATCACCTGAGAAGATAATTATAAAATTATAAATATTTAATGATCAGATAAAATTTATACGTTTGTTATATGAATATCTTACTTTAGCACGTGCTTCACGTGCAGCTTCAGCTTCCGCCGCCATAGCGCGTTGCAATTGAACAGGTAGTCGTACATCCTTGCTATAAAATCATGAAAAAAATTCTAATTTATTATTATTATTGTCATTGTTGTTATGGAAACTTTTTTAAAATTTATTAAAAAGTTATTATTATTGAATATTTTATTAATGTTCACTTTTGTGCAATCTTTTTTCATCATTTTAAATTTTTCAAAATCGTGACAAAGGTACTTTCCAGACCGAAATTATTGTATTCGATTACATTCAAAACAATTTAAAAAAGATTATTTTCCCTTGAATTAAATACAGGTTGTTTCATCGAACTATTATTACTGTCATTACGGGACAAGCGATTTATATGCTTACATTTCGACTCGTTCTACCTTAATTCCCCACGTATCAGTGGCTTCGTCTAGGGCAACCTAATATAAATGCAATCGTCAAAATGTCGTTAATGCATATTAATTCGTTTTTTTTTTTTTCCCGAGAATAATCAGCGTAATTGTATTTAAATTTCTCGTATACCTGCATGTTTCCAGAGATTGTTTCCCGTTCGCTCAATATTTCATGAAGCGGTCGCGTCCCCATGGTATTCCTCAAGGTCGTTTGAGCCAGTAGTCTCGTACTGTGATGCGCATTCTCCACATTCGCAATCGAAATGGTTGCGTTATTAACGCGATAATAAACTACCGCGTCAACGGATACCGTAACGCTGTCCTTTGTCAAGACCTAATGCGCACAGATGAATGGATAATGGATGAATTTCTGTATTGATTATGTTATATTTAATCCCTTAAGAATATGCATCAACGGACGTAACATTTAATTGATGAGATCATTGTAATAAGGATGATAGTAGTATTACCTCTTGCGGTGGAACATCGTACGTTCGCGTTCGCAGATCAACACGTGCGTAGTTGTCCACGCATGGCAGGATAAAAAAGATTCCTATAAGCACGAATCCAATTAGTTCGCTTCGTTAACTTAACTTATCGTGCATAAAATGAAGTGTTGCATAATGTAAAAAAATCGTCGTTAAAAAAAATGTCGTTATATCGCCAATGAAATTATTTAGCTTTGTGCTCTGCCTTTAATTCTGATATAACGGATACGAGATATATGGAATTATTATTATATTAATAATTATAAAAGGTAATGCATTATTTTAAGCAGATCATTCTGTCCGAATTAAATTTAGACATTAACATGATGACATTTTCTTACCGGGACCCTTGGCACCGCCCGATAAAAGACGCCCCAGTCGAAATATGACAGCTCTCTCATATTCCTGTACAACCTGCAAGTTCAAAAACAAAAATACATCTTATCGTCAGAGTTTTTTATTATGATTTTAAATAAATAGAATCTATTCGAATTGACTAAATTAAAAGAGGGTCGTCAGAGAGAATCGATAACTAGCGCTAAGGTATAAATTAATGCTCATTTTATTGCGAAATTGATAAGAGAGATCATCGATACGGCGACTATTAATGGAATAGCCTATTAATGAAAGCGTTCGTTGTATGATAGCTGCTCGTTGATACGTATCTCACTCAATGACCCGAGATAATAATAAAATTATAGCGAAAACAAGAGTGTACAGAGACAAAGGCGAGACGCGTTATTATGCACAAACTTCATGTAACTATAGTTACGTTAAAATAACATTGCTCGTTAAAGATGGAAAATTAAAATGCCTTCTTCTACTAATTGCCAGTGAAGAAATAGCGAGAAATTTATCAGCGAACATAATATTTCGAAGAATCTTTTTGAAAAAGATTTTTTTCTTTTTTTCGAAAAAATACCTTGAAGCAGACAAAGAGGGAGAATGGCATCGTCAATATTACGACAATCCACGATAGTACGACCAGGATGGTTCCGCATGTCGTTGAGTCTCCTTGTGTACTGTCATCAGCTGCAACACGATAACAATTAATTTTCAAAATAATATGTAAACGTATGATGAAATGAGATTTATTTTCAAATCGTATTAAATTTACGTTTAAAATATTTAATTACATCTCGAAGAATCTTAATTAACTTTAATGGCCTAAGTTTCAATTACATTCGTCACAATAGTTGGGCAAAAGTTGAATAGGATCAAATGGCAAACAGTATCACGTGACAAGCGTCCTAAAAAGATGCTTTCAAACAGCGATATTGTCAACACAATTGCATATCATTGTCGACTATCGTAATTGTCCGTGACCGCGTCGCTATTATCTAGTTTTTGAAGTTATCTGATAATGTCTAGCGAACACTTCTAACTCTGACCTAACTTCCATTCTCGTCAAATAATTTAGATGTTTGCTCCTTGTCTCAAGTTCACAGTTAACGATTGTAAAGATAAGAACTTGACAGTTACTAAATTATGTAAAATGATGCAAGCAAAATCTCTCAATTTCTCTCAATTTTTGAATCAAGTTTTGAATTAAAATTAAAATTAAAATTAAAAATATATTGAATTTAAATAAAATAAATAAAATATCTAAAATTAAATAGAAGTTAAGATTGGCAGCTTCAATTTTAATTTTGTCAATAATTTAATGATTTATCATGGAAAATCATCTTTAGCGTTTAAAATATTGAAAATCATTGTCATTACTCATATAACGTCAAAGTTACTGAAATCTTTCTTCGGTGTTTCTTAGAAAATTTAAATGCAATTCTCAGAAAATTATTGCATTGTCAGTGATTCATTCATCTGTGATATAAAAATACTTGTTCAAATGTTTTCGAATAACATTAATGTCTGTCGTTAAACAGAATGAAAAATTACATTACAAGAAAATATGACCTATATATGTTTCATCCCCGTGCTGTCATTGTCCCTGTTGTCATAGAAATAAAAAAAGTACATCATACAGTATTCATTTATCCAACTAATCAATATACATTACTCTTATAGACAATATTTATTTATCCGATATTAATCGCATAGGATAATAATAAAATCTATGATATTATCATGGGGTAATTATTGACCAAGCTTATTATATTTTTATTCGTATTCCCATAAGGTTCAACATGATGTATTGAATTGTACAAGTGTGTTCAAAACATACGTGGTTTATCACAAAAGATTCTATTAAGATATGTTGTTGATGAAATATATCGAAGCTTACAATGTCTCTAATCTCTTTTCTTCATTATGATAAATTAATTCAAAAGAGTACACGATTACGTTTTTCTCATCTTTTCGCAATAGCATTACAGTTACGTATATACATCAAGATTTATTTTAAATCACGAAATAATAATTATGTGCAATCTTTTAGCAATTAAATACTCGCATATCATCGTGTAATTAACATCAACAAAATAATTACGCGATTATCTTTTTTTACTGCTATGAATTATATAAGTGATAATATACTGTGTTTACACGGTGACGTTAAACCGGTTTAGTAATAACTTAATAACTAATGATTTTTTTGTATTTAATTGGATCACAATTTTAGATTTAAAAGAATGTATCAATCTAACGCGAGTTTCATTAACTACGGTTGTTACTAAGTCGAATTAACGTCGTCGTGTAAACATAGTAATAGATTAGTTGAAAAATATTTTTATAAGATATTTATAAATGTTTATATATGAATACATGTATGCATAGGTAGGCATGTATATACAATTGCCATTGATTCTGCCAGTGTCTTCGACTCTACAAACCGATCAATATGTATACGTCATACAACGCACGTGCATACAACCTACATTTGAAAAATCTAACCACGCTATTACGTTTTAGATAAATTAAATTTTCTGAAAGAAATTCAGATTTTCATATCTGAAATAAAATATTTATAAAGCAAAGCCGATATAATCTCGACAAGTACAAATGTTCGATGCTTATTAAAAGTAATCTCAATCTTTTGAAAAATACCAAATTTTAATCTTCCTTATTTAGAAATTGTAACGTAATTTAGAATAATAATCTTCCTTGTCGAATTTGTATGATATAAGATTTATGTTTTCCCATTTTTGTCTTTCTCATTTCTATTTTCTTAATATTTGATTAAAATATACATTATTTCATTATACATGAGAAAAACATACAGCTATGAAAATTGTTACAAAGAAAGATCTATAATTTGACGAACGTAAAATAAAGAAAAACACCTCGGTAAATCGATTATCTCTGATTATCTCTTACAAAAATTTATAAAAGAACATATTCCTTTGATTCTCAAAATCTATTCTTTTATAAAATTTTTTATTTTACACGTGCTTGTCTGTTCTCTTTGTAGCGATTAGTTGTGAGCGATTAGTAGTTCGATCTTTAGAGAGTAGATCTATTAGACAAAACATTTAATAAACATCAATCAAAAAGATTAGAAAGCGCGTCAAAGGGATAATTAATCAAAGAGAGAGAACAGGAACACACAGCAACAATAAACGATGTGTGAAAGAATGAAAAAATGCACACAGAAGGTATAAGGATGGAATTGCGCAATAGCGATTATTTGGTTCACAAGTTTTACTGCCTAATGTTTACTCGATAATCTTTTCTGTATAATCTTTTCGTATCTTTAAGCCGACAGAATTTTGTCAATGTTTATTCCCAATCGCTTACCGTCCGTCATCCCCGAAGCAATCGCCGGAAAATCTTGAACCCCGATTGTTATTTTATCACTTTGCCGGACGAGATCGTTGGGACTGCAGCTCGGAGGATGATTATTTTGCGTCGAAGATAACTAAGGTGGGGTAAAGGATCGAACAGGCTGGATTCGGAGCACGTTATTCACCTCTCACACGGGTTTACCACAACTAAATCTTATTGCTAGGGCGATCTCTCTCTTTCGTTCCCTCTCCCCGTTTCTTCTTTCCCTGTCTCACACCCTTTCAGCCCAGCAACCACCGTTTCGTTCGTCCCTGTCTGTTGTCTCGGTCGAGGCAGCATGCGCGAGATGCGCACAATTCGTGCCCACCCTTCCTTCACCCTCACCCTCACTCTCACCCTCACCCTCTGCCATCCTTTCATCCCTCGCTCTCTATCTCTGCCACCCTCTCATGCAAAATCCTTCCTTCCTTCCTTCGGTTAATCATAACTCCCTCCCTCTCTCTCTCTCTCTCTCTCTCTCTCTCCCCTCTCTTTTTCTCCCCTTCTCTCTTTTTAATTTTCCCTCGACCATCCACGTGCCGTCCCATTGTTGTTGCGAGGGTGAAACAGCACGTATTTATATTATGTTCGGATAATGACCGACACGCGCGTTTCCCGCAAAACGAGCAAACTGAATCAGAGAATCTTCAATTTTTCTTTCGACAGGCAGATATACAACCTAACTAAAGTTTCAATGAGATACGATGTCTCCTTTTCCAAGAAATGAGAAAATATTTTATTATTACGTTAAAACTTTCGACATTGCGAAAAAGTAACATTGAGAAAATAATAATACGAGAAAATTCGAGATAGCTCAGACAATGTGATTTTCGTTAAATATGAAATTTCTAAAAATTATAGTAAAAACTAAGATGTAATGCAATTACTTATTCTCAAATTATTAATAGACATACTTCTATTTTCCGATACGATAAAAAAATCTCATATTCTTATCACACATATCTAATGACGCTTATAATGTATAATTTTAATATCAAAAACCATCACTGAGGAAATCCTTGAAATTTTTTTTGTTTTAAAAACATAATCAAAAACAATTTAATTAAAATTCTATTGCCCACAAGTTACCTGAGTCATGTTATAATTTGATGCGCTATAGTCGCTAAAGCGTGATAGTGTCAAATATTTGAAAATTTTTTACAGATTTTACATTTTATAATAAACACGCTAATTTTCCCACAGTTTCTCTATATGGTTTTATATAAAAATGCCACGCGTACTACATCGTCAAAATGAATATTTTCATTCTCGATGCTTATCCTGGTTCGATAAAATTCCGCGGAAGTCGAAACAACAAAGCGAACGCTTATCGAGAAATCTATCAGGGATTTCTCGATCTATCATCTCGAACTCGATGGCGGTGACGCTATACATCGCTTCGGAGAAAACAAGATACATAGATTGCGTTCGGAGAATGCGGGTCAGCGCTGTCACGTCGTTCTATCCTTGATTTACGTCTAATGAGCCATAAAGATAGAATGACGTAAGATAGCGTAAGATAGTCTCTCGAACGTCGCCTATGCGAGACACCATTCGTCGTTATTTGAATCGAGACTAATCCAGTTAGCTTCTAGATAATTTCTGTCCCCGCTGGATATTTCATTGGACTTATTTTTGCGAAGGAAATCAACCGCGACGAGCGAGCGACGTGCGGTTATAGCGAGTCTATAGAAAGCTCTGTACAAGGTGAATGCTAATGCGTTCCAAGTTCACGTATGCTTGTTGTACATGCGGGATGCACCAGATCTAGCGAACCACTTTCTTTGGCTAATTTTAATTCTAATTTTTCTCGCAAAAAGAAAAAAATATCGAGGAAAACCATTATCGATCATTCCGATAACTTTGACGACGCGATAGACTCGAGGATGTTTTTTTTTTCAAAAAAAGCGTACTTTAACCGCGTAAACAACGTAAAAAATTAAATATCGCAGCGACACGTTAAAATTCGCATATATTAAATTAATTCAATTCGATTTATGATTCACATAATTAACAAAAATTAAATTACAGTAAATTATGATATTTTGATTGATAAAGCTAGCTAAAGCTAATAAATAATAGATAGATAAAGAAATAAGAAATAAATAAGATAAGAAATAGATAAGAAATAGATAAAGATAGAAATAGATAAGAAAGAATAAAGAATAAGATAAAGAATAGATAGATAAAAGATAGATAAAGTTAATTTTTCCTTTTGTATCTATATAATAATTAATGAATCATATTTTTATCTTATAGCTTTCTTGTATATCTTAATAGCTTTCTTGTAATCTTATATACTTGAATGTTAGGATGTATGTTTGTATATAATAGAGAAATAGGAAGAAATATTAAATTTTGAAAATAAAAATTAGGAATAATAATTAAACGTATGGACACAAATAAGTATAAGATATAGTTATATATTATTACCTATGTTTGTTTACTTATGTCCATTTTTCGTTTAATCTCTATTTTTAATTTTTATTTCCAAAATTTAATATTTATTTCTCTTCCTAATAATTTTTATTTCTGCTTCTTCACAGGGCCTTAGGCTGGTTTTCGTGGCGAAAAAAATGACACAGCACTCCAAAACTGGTTATCTATGAATGCGTTCCATTTCCATTTCCATTTGATGCACATGATGCATCTTTTTAACATTCAATGAATAATAAGGATAAATAATATGCATTCTGGAGCAAGGATGAAGGATTTATGCGCATCATACGAGAAACGGAATATATTTTATGCATAGATTCTTTTCATTTAAAGAGCGAGTTGACCCTATAACCGTTGTTCCACTTACTATGTTTGACCGAAGCGGCGCGATTACTGATTACCGACAACCGCAATGTGATAAAATTAGAAACGGCTTATCGTAAAAATATAAATTTCATTGTAAATTGGGTGACACAGATGTGAAAATATAGAGATCGAAATATAGAAAAGATGGAAAGATACGAACAATATGTTTAGCGTGCACCGTTTCTCGCAGGCATTTTGTAAAACGGTAGCGTTGTTCTATTTTCAACAGCCTGGATTTCGTGAGAATATATAGCTATATTATTTTCGTTGGTATTCTTAGTATAATTATAGCTTGATACAAATAAAACGTGATTTTAGCGCTATTTTCCATTTATTCTTCATCGATGTTTCCTTAAAAGGTTATATATATATTTTTATATATTCTCATATATTTAAAAAATTTTTTTATATTGCTTTTAAAATGATCAGCTCGTTATTCCCCTTCTTCCCCTTTTCTTCCCTTCATTTATAATTTGCTTTCAATAAAACTGGCGATAAAATTATCGACTATCACGCAAATATGACTTATAATGTTGAAGTTCGGCTACATATAAGGACTACTGACCTTCTTTACACTCACGAAATAATTCATTTCTTGAACTTAAGGTGAACAACGATATTATAACCTGTTAAGAACCTTCATCTGACTTCCGCCACGTACACGTTTGGAATAATCATTAGTATTAATACTTGTGTGGAGTAGAAAATAATACTTATAATAATACTTATCTCTCAATCATACTTTGCGCGATGATTTCAAGATAAAATAAAACATAAACGGAAAAATAACGAAATAATAAATATAGATCAAATGAAAGATAAAACAAATTGGAGAAAACGCAATTTTCTTTTACACGTGCGTATTTTTCAGGAAAAATAAAATTAAATTCAACAAAACACAAATAAAATAAAAAAATAAGGAAAAAAAGATAAAAGCTATATACATTGTATATTTTTTTTTCTGTTCGGAATTAAAATATGCCGTGTAAATTCTAGTGTAAGCAGTTAGCAAATCATCTTGTTAAATTTTAATTTCATTTCAGTTTCGTTCACTTTCATTCATTTTTCGTTGCAGAGAACTTACATCCAATAATGCGTTTTCGAATATCGTCAGGCCGGGTATTAATCTGCATTGTAGATCCATTACTGTTGCTCATGGTCGCCATAGGTATGGACAGATCAGTGGGATTAACACGAGATTCAAACCTCGCCACCTGGATAAATAAAATATTCATATTTATTAAATATTTATATTTATAATGAAACATTTATAATGAACTATATTTTACTAGTTTTCCCGTTATCGACGATTTCATATCGTTATCAGTACAGAATATGTCTTTTTATATTCACGTATAAAAGATACACGTAAATGCAGCACGCTAAATAATAAATCTTGGGAGTTTTTATTTTATGTCGATTTCTCTTGCATACATTGTGTACTTGGGAAGAATTAATTATTGCAAATATTGTTCAAGTTATTCTCTTTTTGAAATCTCTGTAATATCAATCTTGCGCTTGAAAATTGGCACAAAGATATTTGAGAATCAGGAAATTCTCTATTTTCTAAGAAAATCAAGAAAATTATCAAGGAAATTGTTTCTAAGATTGAATAGATATCCCGATAATTAGACATATTTTTCTTCTAATACGTAATGATGATGATTCATTATATGTATCATGATTCAAATACATACGTTTACTTGAATGTCTCCTACATAAAATTAATTATATTAGACATTAAATTTCTTATCACTTTTGTAGAAAGTATGCAAAATAAAAAAGACGCAATTTTTTTCTTATTCCACTAAAATATGAAATATTACAAATGCATTTACAACACGTTTACTGCACGTTAGTTACTATAATTATTGAATATGAATACATTATATCCAATGTGTATTTGCAGCAACGCTGCAATGTCGCAATAAAATAGCTGTATAAAATTTAATAATTATCGCAGCAGGATATTTTCACTGTTTTTTAATATATTATTTAATATATTATTGCAATATTCCTGCGAGCGTCTTTCGTTGGAATTTTACGTGGAATTCCGTACGTATACATGGACCAGTCGATCTTCCAATCACTCGATGAGCGCACCACTGCATTTAGCACAAACAAAATAACATGTGGACGCGGAGAGACCGATGTACATCAGTGATGTACACCGCGGCTACACTACGTTGTATCGCAAACGCGGAACCCATGTGACATGACACGGAGATTAAATCACGCATCGGTTCTAACACGCTCACGAACATTGGGACGCTCGGTGTCCCTCCGTTTCACGTCACCTCGGCTCGCCGAGGAATTGCACAGACGCAAATTTACAATGTACGAGAGGTCGTTCACTCTCGCCCATCCTCCTCCGAGAGGAGCTTTTTTTGACCGAAAAAAAAAAAAAATTAATAATTTTCGTTCGTCGACCGCGGATCGGATTCGAGAGTTCGATTTTAAGGAGTGCTTGACAGCCCGTTCGGACGGACGTGCAGATTTTTTCTTCACCTTGCTTCACTGTTGTCGGCAACGCGCAACGTGTCGAGGAGAACAGAACAGGCTGAACGGGAGCGAAATCGTCGTCACGGTGCGGCGTCGCGACGCTTTATAGAACGGTCCGGGCGCCGCCCGACGAGTGAGTAGTGCACGGGACACTTTGGTGCGCCTCGCGGGTACAATCCGCCATCATATGGCCACCCACACCCGCCGCTGATCGCTGCTCGCCTCGTAATTGTAATATGTATCCAGCACGAGTTATTTCCGGTACTCCGCGCTGCGAAATTCACCCGGTGCAAATCGAGAGGCGAAGATATTTCATCCGATCGCGCACCGACAGTGGTATATACACACACACTCTGTTTCTCGGTTTGAAAATTTTTGAATTTTTTTCGCGCGTATTACTTTAAAAACAATCTTATCGATTCAGTGAATTTCCAAGTGAATTGATAATTTTTTTAGATTATTATTATCACAAAGATATAGTTTAAGGACGTTCACTGTTAGATATGAAAAATATTGCGTTCTTCCGCTGTCATTATATTTCTTATTGCGAAATTAGCTCGATGCAAATCTGGACGAAAGTATTTCATTTGGTTGCCTCAATCTTTTGCATTTCCGTTATCAGTTTCGAGATTATTTTAAAAAATGATATTTGAATCGATATCTGTATGCAAATATTCATGCAATATGATAAGACAGCTATTCCAAAACATGATGTTATCAATATCTATTTTTAGATGTAATATTCGTAATCATAATAAAGTCGTTTAAGTTGATCTGGAACTTTTTTCAATTAATGAACGATTATTCTATTTGCGAATATGTATTCAATTTAACTTTAATACTGAAAAATTATAAGAGAAAAATCTATTCTTATTTATACATATGTGTATGTGTGTGTGTGTGTGTGTGTGTGTGTATGTGTGTATCACATTTATGTTATATCTAATGTTGAAAAGTCATTGTGTAATGTAAAACGTATTCGTATTTCATGCACGATTCATTGCCAATTCATTGTCAATAATGCATGTGAGAAGAAAGCCATAGGTGAACTCCTCACCTCTTTATACATGTATCTCCTATAAAAAGACAAGTCAAGGATATAGACGGAAAATACGAGGTCAATAACCAAATGTGAATTAAATTCACAAAATGTTAATGTAATCATTCTATCGGTTTTCTTATTTTTATATTTGCAAAGTGCAATCGACAAGTACATTATATATTATACTTGTTGTAATATGTATCTGATATATCAAATGCAATTATAATCTTTTTTACGTATATATACATACATGAAAGGCAATTTACTTTCAGAATTGAGTAGCTTTATTAACAGAATGCATACAACAAGTATATCGTATGTAACATGATCTATCTAGCTACAGATATCATTTTCATATCACTGTCTTTGCTCTGTCCAAGAGCCAATCTCGTCGTAAAAGGTAAAATTTTATGAATATTTAAGTGTAATATCGGAAATATAACAATATCATTAAAATGGCATTGTCGAGAAATCTTAAATAGTTATCAGGCTCAATGGCAGCTTTGTATAACGATACTCCGATATAAAATTGTATTGAGTCTGGCCTTTCCTACTTTACAGAAAATAGTCGTTGTAGACTTCTCGTCGGATATTATTTCATATTGCTATTTTACTTTAATGGTGTGATAATATCCGATTTATGCGATTCTATATGCATAACTAGGCATATTGTTACGACGCAAATTATGACAGATGATAATTCTGCATGGGATGTGCTTCTATCGCAAGTTTTGAAAGCTGTGATTTGACACAACTGTCAATTGCTCGTGAATATTCCTTGAATGATAAATCCAAGTATCTTTTGCGGTTATACAGTAAAAACTGACTTTATCTTTATCATCATGATTTGCTGTATACGATCCAGCGACTAAAATATTTAAAAAGCTAGACCAGCTTCTGAGTAAGTAGTAAATATTTTCTCAATCGAATTGGCATATGCGGCTGTCCTCAAGTCAAGTCCAAGATTGAATTTCATGGCAGTCTTCATAATAGCCTAAAAAAATTAACGTAATAAAAAAATATTTAGTTGGATTCTGTTTGATTAAAGATATTATTTGTTTATAAAATATCGATTAATCTAATTAATTACCCGAGCGGATCTCTCCATTGTATAATCTAAACCAGAGTGGACAATATCTTTTTCGGAAGCGCCAGATATACGTTTTTGGAAGGCTTCGGATGGTGTGACAGGAATACGACCACCAACTCGACCGAACCTACGTTCTAAAGACTCTTGTACCGATTCTGAAATAAAGATGAATTTATAAATCATATTTTTAAAGATCATATGTATACATCAAATTTAATTAAATTTTTCATCGAATCTAATATACCTAAGAGATGATAATTAGATTCCCTTTCATATTTGAAAGTTAGACGGCCATATGACACATGATTCAGGTTTTTTAACCATTCAAAGAATGAGACTGTGACACCACCAGCGTTAATGTACAAATCCGGAATAACAAGAATGTTTCTATCGATTAAAATCTTATCTGCGGCAGGAGTGGTTGGTCCATTAGCAGCTTCCGCGATAATCTTTGCCTATAAAAATATAATTTTCAGATTAATTGTCGTCTTTTAAGTACATCATCTGAGATCTTTTAAGAGATTCCAGATTCTTTCTATTTTACTAAATAATATAATCTAATGATTAATTGAAAAATTAACAATTAGATACACAAATAGAAATATATATTTTGTACATAATATCAAAATCTTTACCTGAATACGGCCGGCATTTTCTTTGGTAATTACTTTCTCTATAGCAGCAGGTATAAATATATCACACGGTTCGTACATGAGATTTTCGCCTTCATATGACTTGGCTCCAGGAAAGCCAACAATAGTACCATTTTCTATGCGGTACTCTTCCAATTCCTGAAACGCATGAAAATACAACTATAAGTAGGTATTAATAAATAAAAAACAATATAATTCATAGAATAAATTAAAATAATTACACTGTTATAGACACTGTTATAGACTGTTCCTTACCTTCGGGTCAATACCCTCTGGATTATAAATAGATCCATCGTGTTCGATTACACCTATGCAAGCGGCGCCTGCACGGTGTAAATAACGCATCGAATGCAAACCTACGTTACCGAAACCTTGGAGAATAAATGTTTTGCCTCCCCAGCCGGGCGTAGTACCTACGGATTATTATATTTCTTTACCTAACGTGGCATAAAAATTAAAACAACCAATGAATTGACAGACGTACCAATCATGCTCATGTAATTAGCTTCGTTGATGAAATTTTCTAATCCGTGGAATACTCCACGTCCTGTCGCGGAAATGCGACCATGAATACCACCTTGATTGATGGGTTTGCCAGTAACACAAGCATGAGCGTTAATATCGAGATGACCGATAGTCTTTGCGTAGGTATCGGCTATCCAAGACATTTCTCGCTCGCCCGTACCCATATCTGGAGCAGGAACATCCACTCCAGGCCCTAGAAAATAACAAATTCTTGAGAAATAAACTAATATTATATTCTGATATCTGATTTTGAATGTTCTAAATCTTTAATGTTCATTTTAATAATCATTGTTGAGAACTCTTTATTTTGATGATAAATAATAAGCAAGGTTATTAAATATCACTAAATTCTATAAATATGAGAGAGAAAGGGTAATCTTTTTACGTCGAAATAATTATCAATAACGTTATTTATCTTTATATTAGATTAGATTGTTCACAATCTCAATGAATGAACAAATTTCTATTGCGTATATACAGTAATTGTACGAGTATTATTGCCCGCAATAATTTAAATTTCATATTTGCATACAAGTATGCACAAGATGGCATTGCTCGATGCTGGGGATCAGTCTTAGAGATCGAATGCGGAACGAAGAAATCAGAAGATGCATTGGAGTTACGGACGTCATACAACGAGTCGCCAGCCGGAAGTGACGCTGAGTGGGTCGCTAGGATGGAAGCGAGATGGCCGAAGAGGATGATACAGTGGAGACCAAGAACAGGTAAACGAAATATCGGGAGACCTCAGATGGCATGACAATATCTAGAAGGGCAACAGGAAGAAACTGGTTGCAGATAGTGGTCAATAGATTGTCATGGAGGATTATGGAAGAGATTTATGTTCAGGAGTGGACGGCAACAAGTTAAAACATGAAAAAAAAATGAAAATATTGCTCGATATTGTTGGCAAACACATATATTGGCACATAGAATTTCTTATTTATCTTGCTCAAAACTGGACAAGATAAATAATTCATGTAATATTAATTACACTCATTGTAACTTATATGATGATAGTAATTGTTTACACATGATAGTAATTGTTTACATATCCCATATTTCTAATCTTGTTATATTGATTACTTATCTCGATTATCTATATATCTGTTATCACGTTTACTGCTTTTCTTATAAATAAATTATTTCATGGAAATAAAAATTGCGTTTTACTGAGTAAGATGCATTTACAAATTTATTCGCGATATCGTGCGTGGCGGACATTTGTATAGGCTAATAAATCTTTATGGTAATTAGATCATGCAGCCAGTTGTTTTTGCAACGCGTTTGCATTATGACGTAACAGCGGTAAATTCTGTGTAGAATAGAATGTGTAGATAGAACATTATGAGAACAGTGGTAGAGCTTAACACATTTTCACATCTTCTCAACGTTGTCTAAAATTATCGCACAAACGTCACGCCTCCGTCTCACATCTTGTTTATGAAGATGTTACATCAGAGATTGTCCTCATCGAAGTCTCGGTCAAATCGAAAGAAGAGTTACCTTTATGACTTTTTATTCTTCTTTCTTTTATTTAGCTTAATATAAATTCTTACCAATGAATCCTTTCTTCGCCAATTCCAACGTAAATCTTCTGGTAATTTTCTCCAGCTCGTGTTCCGAATAGTTCTTTGGGTTTATTTTAATTCCGGCTTTAGCCCCACCGAATGGTACGTCGACACACGCACATTTGAATGTCATTAAGGCCGACAGGGCTTTAACTTCGTCCCGTGAGACATCCATTGAGAAACGAATACCTAGAAATAAAAATATCTTTGTGTTTCTTAATCTTTTAATTTATTTTTCATTGATGTAAAATATTTATGCAAGAACCTGTCAATATTTGAAACGTTGTGTCTCTGTTAGAAAAAATTGAATATATAAAGTGTATAATGAGACCATCAAACTATCAAAATCAACAATTATTACAAGTTTTCTTTTAAAATCATATGGTTTTTTTTTTTTTATAATTCTATTCCACTTTAGACGTTCTACATATAGAAAATTAAAATTTTTTCAAAATAATTTTTTAATAATTTGTAGATATAATATTTTATTATATAATTATACAAATTATATATAAGATATAATTTTTAATATTTAGAAAAAAATTTATTTTTGCATATATATTAATATAAAATTGTTTTAATAAGAAACATAAAAACATGTAATATATTTTTTTCATTTATTATCATAAGAACAGTTCGTAATAACAAAGTTAAAAAAAAATCTAAAAATATCGTTGACGTTTCACAAACACGTTTTCTTCAACATTGATAGTCCACGTTATTTGTTCTCCAATTTGTATACTGCCTCTAAAATTTCACGTGACATGCAATATTAATACCTCTACGATAATGAATTTTTTTAACAACAGCTGGAAATGCTACTTGACACTTTTTTTGAAGTACGTTGTATAACAACAAACAAATAGTTTTATTTAATAACTTTATTGCATCAACTACAAGAATTTTAATTTTATATCATTAATTACTTCTCAATTGATGCTTAGTTTTATGTAATTATGAATCATGTATCGGAAGCCAAATCAACTAATATTCTTTCAAATTTCTGATTTTTAGTAAAAGCAGAGCACACGAGTTCGTAATTTCATTAATTTTTTCTATTTAATGACAAATAAGAAAATATTATACATATATCAACAGATAAAATGGATCGTTGCTCGGCGCGATGTTTGTAAAAAATCGAGGCCAGAGCTTGTTCTGCAAGCTCTCCGTTTGATATTCAAAACATCATGTCGTGCTGATTGTCATTAAACGTGTTCGTCATCAATTAATTTATTTTAAGGCGATCGCTCAGGGTTTGGCACGACGAAATAAAAAGCTCAGACCGCCTGGCATCATTCGCCCTTCAACTTTTCCCGCGTGGTTAAATCATATCGCAAATATATATTCAATATACAATGCTTAAATTATAAATCTTCTCTAGTTTTCTATTTTGACTCGAATAAATTTGTTTTTCCATAAATAAGCATTGCAGGCATAATTTGCAAGCGATAACGAATCGAGAAATTGATTTGTTTATAAAAATTTTCGGTTAATAAAAATTTTACAACTAAGTGGTCAAACCATTTTTACCTCGACTTAGAGATGACGCAGGTACAGATAATTATTATAATACAGTAATAATTATTCCATTATCTAAAAGTACTGATCGTAAACATGATATGATTCGTAGCTTCAGTTGTTCAAAAGCACTTAAAAACTACTTGCAAACTATATTATGTCTACGTTGTATCGCGCTTTGTATCAGTTGATATGGTTGATGTGTAATAGGTTGAAACAAGAGAGAATCAACGAATGCGAGATGTAGAAGCGTTTTCAATTCATCGGCAATGTAACGCGAGATATGTCGTCATTCCTCTTTCCTTGCACGGAAATGAGTTATTATAGCAATTACGCTAGAAAGAATTACAAGGAAAATTATCAGCTGGCCAAAACTAATTTATTCCCTAATCATTTGATACTTAGCTTGGCATATTACACATTGTTTGTTTATTATCATAGCTGATGTTTTTCATACGAATTTGATTATACGTACGCAGACGTGTCTGCCGCAAGCCATGTATTTTATAAAAAAACTAATGCGTAAAATAAAAGTTAAGATAAATAGTCATTATTGTATTGAATTTACTGAAAGTGTAAAAATGTATAGCTTGTTTAAATTATTTATTCGTGATTTCACTCGTGATTTCATATCTAGGCCTTCAAGGTTGAAATCGTGAACAGTGAAGCCGTAAAACTCCTACAAGTGTTTACACCAGCAATAAATAAATTATCAGTCACGTAACCTGATTACTAATTACGTAAAATACGTCGATGTCGGTTACTTTCATGTGATTGTCTTTTTACACGTAAAATAATAAAGTAAAATTGACGATTTATCAAAGATAAGTTTTTCAGATCAGTTTTTAAAGTTTGTGAGTTAAGTGATATTCCAAAGTGTTTAAAGTACTACACAAAATATATATTATTACGTGTGAGAGATAAACGTAAATTTATCCTTGGTACGTGATCTAAGACAGATGCCAAATTATTTGTGAATATCTCTGAAGATATTTTGCATGCGTAGCGATGTAAAGCCACGTGAGAGAAAGAGGCATATCACGTTATCGGTCATATGTTAATGATAACTTCTTATAACACACTTACCATTCCATTTGTTACATATTTTCAGATATTTTGGAAAGAGAAGAATTTTGACAGAAATGTTTAATAATATGTTTAAAGCAAAAGGTAAAGATAACAATGTTTCACAAAAATTATCTACAATTTTTGAAAATAAAAGGTATAAAATAAATGAAAACAAATATCTTTTACATGTTCAACAATATCTTTAAAGAAAAAGTTTATTGCGTGAAATAAACAGTTGATGTTTAATACTTTTTAAAAATTAATTATTTTTTCAATTATTTTTAAATTCAATTAATCTCTGTATTGAGAGTTTTTTGTTAGATTTTGTTATCAAATCTTGAATTTTGTATACTAGAAATGTATGAGGAAGAAACTTATGTTTATTTATTGTAAAATAAAACATGACTTTTCAATATGTCAAATTTAACTTCCTGTTCTTAATTTCTTATGTTACATTTTATTCTGATTGCATTTAGAGTGACTTTGGTCAAACTCGAATGAACTTAATCAATGATTAATTGATAAAGAAATATTTACAAAATTTCGTCATCATATATAAAATTATTAACTTTTTCTAGTTTAATATAAAAAAAAAGATTACATTAAAGATAAGAGTTTTCAATTATACAATTAAAAATGAATTGCAAGTGTGTTTGTGTTTGAGTGAATCTGATTAGGTAAAATAAAATTTTTGTCATCTTTAAATATTGTTAATTAAATACTAAATACTAAATATTGTTAATTAAATACTAAATACTAAATACTAAATAATCATAAAAAAAAGTAATTACGGAGCAATGAATGTTGGGCTGAATTCAAAAACTTTAGATATATCATTTTCTTATTGATCATCGAATGTTAAACATAGATCAATTGATATCTGGATACATTTGGATGTTATTTCTAAATATATCTCTGATTGATAATTTTAAGATATTTTAAAAATGGTTATCTCAATAAGGACCAATTTCACCACCTTTGATTAATTCAAGTGACCGATTAGTGTCAACTGTAATTGATCAATTCTATCAATTCTGATATATTCTGTTTAATAACAAATACAAACTGGTGAATTTCAATAGAATAATCGGTCGATTAAGTTAATGGAAGATGAAATTGATCCCAATGTCCATTTCCACCAATGTAGATTAACTTTAATCTTGATTTAATTTACTTTTCATCTGATTTTAATTCTAAAAATTAAAAAAAAGAATGAATTAAACTGAGATTAACATCAATCTACATTGATGAAAATAAATATTAATTAATTAACTTTTTCTAATTTAACAGAAGAAAACAGAGATTAGATTAAAGATACGAATTTTCAATTGTACATTAAAAAATTGATTGCAAGTGCTTGTCTGTGCTTGAGAGAATCACTTTATCGACTAGGTAAAATAAATTTTTTCTCAAGGTCACCCTTAGATTTTGTTAATTAAATATTAATATAAAAAAAAAAGTAATTCACGAATCAACGAATGTTGAGGTTGGGTTGGATTCAGAAACATTGAACATATTTCATTATGTTGCTTATTGAATATTGATCGATCGATTACTTAAAAGTCGATCCACTTGTTCAAGCTGGCCCATCCCTGAGGATACACCATGACGTACAACACTCGAGGCAACAAAGAAGCATCAAGTCTCACCTCCCTTGCAAGGTGTTCGATGGGTGGAATGCTGAGCGCGGTAGCCCGTGATCATCTCATAGTCGCCGGAATCGCGTCTAAGCGGGAACGTGGTCTCAAGAATGTGATCGCAGGGCTGCATCAACATCAAGATACCCTTGACCTTCTTCTTGCGCTCCTCGACCGTGACACGTGATCGCTTGCCGATGTCCTCGACCAGCTTGTCCTCGATGATCTGACAGGCGCGATGGAAGAAGTACTCCACCATGTCGAAGAACCTCGGGTTCGGCGCCTCGGGCACGTCCCTCAGACGATCCGGGATCTGGTGGTCGGCGTATCCGCGGCAGGTCGCCGGCGCGGTTTGCCAGGCGACCGGCATGACGACGCGGCTCAGCACGCTCTGCATGTCGTTGCTCGGCGCCTGCTTCAGGGCGATCGACGACCGCGTGAGATTCCGTACGCAGAACATCTTCGCGCGCGACAACGGATTTGACTGATTGACACGACTGATCGACCCGGTGACGCGGTGCGAGTGTGCGAACCCGTGTTCCAATTTCCCCGTTCACGAGATCGTTCTCCTCGCCGAGCGCAAAACCCACGCACAGTTCACCCAACCGTAAGTCCGTCAACCGACTTCCCCCGCGATTCCCCCCGTTTCAACGTTCCAGTCGGTCGAACGCGATTTGCCTTTATGAAACGCCAATGTGGTCACGGGTCACGAAGTGCGTACCAATGGGAGACAGGGCTGAGACACGCCAGTGCCAGTTTGGAGTTGACGTTGAAGACCTCGTACGGTGAGAGTCCGAAGCTCGTTCAGTCTGCTCCACAGTCAATAAGTCTTGACATATACGCAGACCCACATTCTGAATTCTCTTTTATCAATTAAAGTGCCTCTAAAAGTGGCTCAAGTGGCTGTAAGCTACTTTTTTAGAAATATTTTTATTCATCAAAGAGAATTCAGAATATGATTCATAGCATATATTGAAGGGAGCAACTATATCTTGAGATGTAGAAAAGGACAAGACAATGTGTGGATCAAAGCAGCTCGTGTAGCCCAGGGCCATAAGATATCAGATGATATAGCTACATGTAATTTATGTAATAGAAACCATAAATATTTATTAATAATGTAATATAATAATTTTAACTTTATGACGTTTATACGCAACGTTACATTCTTGAAAATTGCATTATATTAAGAATCTTTCCAATTTGTACAAACATATTCCTCTTTACGCTAGACAAAATTCAACCAATAAAAGCGAGATTCTTGCTACATTTATTCTTTTTTTCTAGGTCCGTCAAAATAACAGATCAAAGAAGTGTTGAATGCTCCATCCAATATTATATTTTAATGACGATAAACGCGGAATGCATTTCTTACTTTGGCTCGTGGTGCGATTTTTCGAAATATAATACCTTGTGGATTGCATATTTTATATTTATAGCAGTTTACTATATCTAGCATATGATCTAGCATAAAAAATCATCATAAAAATCATCAAAATTTAAGAGTCGACAGAAGCGACGAGTCAATAACTCCAATAAGATTATTACGTCTATCTGATAATTATCTGATAATTATCTACACAGATACATTTTGAGTTCAATCATATTTCATTTCATAAAAGCAATATTTTGATAAGACTTCTTTACGTATTTGTTATAAAGTTTGCTACAAAACCGAATTTTGCAATTTGATTCTTAAAAATTTTTAATAAATAAAAATCTCTGTACCTTGTTACATTAATAGTGCAAATCTAACGACACATTTGCCAATCAGAAAGCTTATAAGCCACTTTTAGAAACACATTTATTGATAGAATAGAATTTGAGTTTATATCTGTTTCTTTCACAATCATATATTTGTAAAACACTTTTTAGAAATAAGAAAAGAAAAGAATTATAAAATCGACAATCTTTTATTATAAAATTGGACGCTTGTCATGTATTATGATTATAGTCAATAATTCAAATCCATATGATATGAATTAATAGTATATTGATTGATATATCATAAAAAGATATTGATATATCATAAAAAGGATATATCTAAATTTTAATATTTTGAAATTTAAAAATATGCAATTAATCTTTTCCTGGAAATATTTCATATTCTAATCGTGTGATCACAATCAAGTTCTTCAATTTAGAAACATTTTATCAATCTATAATAATGCAAAATAATTATATAATAGCTAAATATCAATATTTTTTACATTCAATAGCTTTTACAATATTCTATAATTTTTTATTAATCTAGAAATTGATATCCCTAGATTAATACAAAATTTTTAATTTCAATTTCCATCAATTGTACTATACAGAAAAAAATATAATAATAAACATTGGATGTCAAGTCTAGAAATTCGAAATGTATTTTGCCCGATCTTTATCGCTTTGAACGATTCTTTATCGCTTTGACTATTTTAAGGAATAACATGCCTCGTGATCGCGGCTCGCGAAATTCCGATCAAACTCGTCGTGCAAACGTAGCTGTTATCGCAACGTGTCGGACGATAAGCAAGAAGGCGGCAATAATAAAGGCTGCGACCGGCACATTCCATTTCCACTTCCACTTCTCCGGGATGGAGTATCCGTATTTCTATCGGGGACACTGGCAGACGAGGATGGTACTATTTGCACGTGGTTGTCAGCTGATAAGCGTCGCGCGCCTGCGGCACGTCATCTCGCAGCGGCGTCTTTCCATTCCTCCTCTGGAACGTTCACGTCGGCCTATTACATCAGTCGGAGTCCAGCTGTCGACTGGATCGGAACGTCATTACGGTAGGCTGTGAGTATGCATCTCGTTACTCTACTCGGAAAACTTGTTTTGGAGTCTTAGCTTTGGAGAGCGATCGAAGGATACGGTCTCCAGTTTACCTGCGTAAATAAAGGCGAGGGGGACTCATGAAAACTCGTGTAAAATTCGTCATTTCGAACGAAACTGAGCTCACTTTGAGTGATGAAAAAATGATACTGTATGTTGTAGGATATACAGGAATAGGATGTTTGATAACAAGAAATTCCCAATTCGAACTTTTCTACTTGATTTTTGATTTATAGAAAACTAATCACTCGTCAATCCTTATCCTAGGAAATCAGAATATCCGATAGATAGCAAGTTATATCGGCGGATTTTTTTAGCAGAAATTACGACAGTATCAATCGTGCTTGTAATAAGCTCATGTTCTGCCAGCAAAATTTATATATAATCTGACAGTAGATTGATAGAAGAAATCGAGCAATAGAATCTGTCATTCTTGTCATAAGCACATTTTTTTTGTTTTTTTTTACAATTTGCTATCTTTTTTTCCTTTCCTTAACTTCCGTTATATTCCGTTATTTCTTAGATTCCGTTATATTTCTGCTAGCATTCTGCCGATAAAATTTCTAACAAACATTTTGCAAAATCAATTTTCAATAAATTTGATTATCCAAGGCACTATAGAATTTTAAATCATTTTTCAGTTATTCTTAACTATAAAATTGTTAATTTTTTTAAATAATGACATTTCTGACTTGCAATCTGTAGATTTGAAATTCAATAAATGCATACGATGTTTAAATTTCCATTGATTATGACCGATTGGCGAAAAAACGAGTGACTGAGTTTTTTTATTTGCTGACATTCTTATTCGAACGAATTCACTCGAACGAAACAAACGAGGCAGTTGACCATGTTTTATCTTTCTTATTCGAGTCCCTCTCCCTAAAAAATATGTACAAATCACGCATGAGTTCGCATCTATTCTTAGATCGCTGTTACCACAATATCATTTTATTCTTAGCCTCGATTTTAATTTCTCATGCAATTTGTTTAATAATAATATCTGTTTTATGTAACAGATCACGCAATATCGGCAGATTTTATCGCGGAATATCTCAAATTAATTTCTGTAGAAAAAGAAAGAAAAATTTCGAAATATTTAATATTATTTATTATACAATATACATATCCTAAAAAAATTCGTGCAATTTTTTGTGGAAAATAATATACATAAACGAAATTTGTGTTTTTTTTTATTTTGTGATTGTTATATTAAAATTAATATTGTGATCTTTCAGCCTTGTTTTCTTCCTATAAATTATTTTCAATACCGAAATGGGAGCCATCATAACGAATAAATGATATATTAACGTTCCATTTTATTAGCATATCAGTATAAAAAGGTGAGATTAATTAATTATATACTTATATATATTATACATTTTTTAAATCATATTTTTTTAATATCTATATGTTTAAATCAATTTTATGTATATCTTAATCCATCTTTTTGTTTATAGTGCCAGTATATATCAATGTTAATGCCATAAATCCAAATTGTTCCAAACTGTTGCTTGATATAAAGAAAAAATAAATAAAACAATGACTGATAAAAGTAAAAAATTATCACGTTGGTACTTTGGTGGTGTTTCTTCTGCAGCTGCTGCATGTGTGACTCATCCTTTAGATTTGCTAAAGGTCTTGTTTACATTCATTTTAGACTAGTTTTAACTCGTTAATAAAAATGACAAAAGATCAAAATCACACTCTTGTCAATTTTAAAATTTTACAAGTTTACAGTAGTTGTTTCATATCACTGGAATAGCATTAGATAATAATTTTCTTTAAATATTGTACAGAAGTGTAACTTAAATGATCTAATTTTACTTCTAGGTTCACTTGCAAACTCAACAGGAAGGCAAGATATCAATAGTACATTCCACTATCGGAATAATTAGGAAACAGGGAATATTAGCATTATACAATGGACTCAGTGCTTCCCTACTTCGCCAACTTACGTATTCTACAATAAGATTTGGAGCATACGAGGTCAGTATATGCAAATTCTCACATGCATAACTTGTATATGTACAAACGCCATTTTTTTCTCAACTTATTACACGCAGGTCATGTTCAATATAATAGGTCGGCAAACAAACGTTTGAATCATCTGGTCATCCATTACCTTTTTATCAAAAACTGCTGTTGGCTGGAGTTTCGGGTGCTACAGGCGGCGTTTTTGGAACTCCCGGCGATGTGGTTAATGTACGCATGCAGAATGATATCAAAGTAGCACCAGAATTAAGAAGAAAGTAGGAATGTTTTTATGTTATGATGTTGTTATTTTCGTTATTTCATACGATTATGTAGTGATTTTATTAATACATCTCTTTATCTCTTCCTCTTTTTTTTCTATGCAGTTATAAGCATGCTCTAGATGGACTGTGGCGTATAATTCAACATGAAGGGGTTCACCAATTGTTCAGTGGATGTTCAACTGCAACCATGAGAGCAGCGTTAATGACTATTGGACAATTGAGCTTTTATGACCAGATTAAAACAATGTTGTTACAGACTGGATATTTTCGAGATAATCCCTCAACACATGTTTTGTCCAGTGTATCAGCAGTAAGTATCTATGAGCATTAAAAGAAAAGATTCATCGTTCTAAGTCATTCACGTAGAGTCGAGAAATAATAACGTATCATATCATGGTGATACAGGGTGCTATTGCAACAACGCTTACTCAACCCTTAGATGTTTTAAAGACGCGAGCAATGAACGCTAAACCTGGAGAATTTAAAGTAAGTACGTTAAAATAAAATAAATGTTAATATATATAATTCACGACTTTTACAATTATCACAATTATTTTTGGTATAGAATTTAATGGAAATCTTCCTATATACTGCCAAGCTTGGGCCACTGGCTTTCTTTAAAGTATGTATAATTAAAAAAAGACCTTTATCTATTGATGAATCAATGATAAAATATATAATAATTTCGATCATAAAAGTTTTCTAATAAATATTATTTTTTATTCTAGGGCTATGTACCTGCATTTATTCGGTTAGCACCACAAACTATCCTCACATTTGTATTCCTTGAACAACTTAGATATAATTTTGGATTCTATCCACAATCTATGAAATCATCGCTGTAGATACTGAAATAGTTTTGATGAAACAGAGAGAACAGATGATGAACAGAGATGAACAGAGCTTACTTAAAATTGATTTAGATTTCTTTTATAGCAAAAATTGTACAAATTCATGAAAAGGATTAAACCTTGCTATAAATTTGGATATACTTGAGTACACATATTGGCATTTGAAAACATAATAAATTATAAATATTTTATTATTTAGTCGTATATATTTAACTTAATGATTAAGTAACTTAATTTTTATGTTTCTATTTTGAGATAAAATAGAATTATATAGATTAGAATTATATTTAATTATATAGATTATTTATATTATAATCGATACATTCCTTATCTTCATTGTGATATATATGTATACAGATTTAAATGTGTATTTAATTATATTATTTGATACGCACATGAAGTGTTCTGAGTCAAAGGCCAAAAGATATATATTTATTGATGAAAGTTGGCTTTTATAAATCTATCTTTTTTAAGGCTTCATATTTCAAATTGTTCTATTTATTGTATCATACCAATTATTCCAATGGAATGTATAGTACAATTCATGAAAGAGCTTTAGATAAAAAAATATATATAAAAAAATATTTTTTTTAATTATTGAAATATAATATGCGTGTGTTTATTTTAGCAATATATGTGTAGTTTATAAATAAAAATATAAATTATTTTTGTGAGAAAAATATTGCGCAATTAATTTTATAATTTTCTGTATACTTGTGCAAGTTGAAAATACATATTTCTAAACCAATATGCAAAATATTAACGTATCAGTAGTAAATTTGATTAGATTTCAGTAGATTGGCATCAATATATTAAACTTGTGTTTTATCATCTAAACTTGGATGAAGTAATCTAGATTAGCATAAATTGAGCAAAATAATCATTTCATAGACGTTTTAATGGATTAATTTCTTTGAATAATTAAAAATTAAAAAAGATTTTTAAAATTTTTGTCATCTATCTACCACTGTATTATCACTGTATTATTAATGAATATTTGATTAGCAGCTTTGCTTTAACAAATCAATGGATAGATAATAGAAATTGTAAAATAAATATGTGTCATAATGTTTATATTATATTGTTATATTTATACCCATTCTTTTGTTATGAAATATCAGGTCAATGTGTATATTAAAATTACTTCAAAGGTACTATTATTTGTTTGAGTATGGTAAGAGTTGTATGTATGTTCTCGAAGGTGTCCGTGAAAAAGCGTTTTGCGTAAAATTCATAGTTTGTCTCACACAAATCTAACTCTAGTTTTTTTATATCCTTATTTGACAAGAAATTTATAACACCTGGAGGTATCTGAGATGTTGAAAACATATCACAATATGGTGCCAGACTACAGAAATGTTCATTACATATGACAATAACAGAATTGCCAAAAGTTAAAATTTGCATCAGTCGACCAAACAAAACAGTTTCACTTTTCTCTCTCAAAACAATAATGCCTTTCGGATTGCGAATTTTCGTTACTTTCATATTTAATGTTCCACTATGTGAATCAAGTAAATCTTCATAAATATATGAGAATCGTATCCATCTTGATATTACATCTGCCAATTTAAATTTACTAAAAAGATAAAAAATTGATAATTTAAAGGATTAAAAATAATTAAATGCAGAAATATAAAATATAAAAATATAAAAATGATATAAAAATTTTCAAATAATTTAAAACATACCCTTTACATTCCAATGTAGATGCAATATTCGACAATATTTGCAATCTACAAGCAATAGATTTCTTACTCCAAATTTTAAATCCTTTCTCAGCTGAATTGATGCATCTATTAATATCTTCACTATAATAATGATACAATTACAAATTTCATATACATATTTTATCAAATATATTAAATTCAAGAGAAAATTATTGTATTTAATAAAAGTAAAAAAAACTATACCTTTACCTTGTGGCACTTGCCCAGTGAATGTCATTGTGTAACCAATATGCACCTTTTACAGGTTTTTGCCACATACCATTGTAGAATAAATTGTAGATTGCATTTTTATGCAAGTTTGGTTTTATCGCATAATAATCCTGATTAGACTCGCATACTTTAGGCAATCTTACGTCAAATGTTTTTATATATGGCAAGAGCACAATTCCATCATAGAAATTCATGTGAGCATTTATAAATAAAACATTTTCCTGAAGAATCAGAAATAATAATATTAATAATGACCAAATTTCCCATGCAAATACCGATCATATAATTAAAATATATATAAATATATATAAATATACTATTTTATATATATATTAAAATATACATAAAATGTTTTATATATATTTATTAAAATATCTATAAAATATACTACATTTAAAAATCTCGCTAAATTTTCGGCAGCTATAATATCTTCCGTCCATATAGATTTTATATATATATTTTTAGGTGGTATGTTGTTAAATAAAGGTTTGGCTGTAAATAATTCTTTCTTTGTTTGAAATGTACAAATGGGAAGATCTAAATCTAGGGAATATTGATCTATAAGCCATAAAAATTTTTCTTTTATTGTTTCTTGAATCCATATTTTATTTAAAGACCAGAATAGACCAGCTTTTCTAAGACGATAGAGTAGATTTTTCAAATAGCTGATAGCTGCATGCAAATCTGAATCTTCTAAAAGTATCATTTCATTGATATGTTTAAAAATCTTGCATCCATATATTGAGTTTCCTAGTACTGAATTTTGGCTAAAATATAAAACAATTTATACAAAAAAAATTGATGATTGCTATTAATTTGAATGTAAGAAATATAGATATAGCTAATAAATATATTTAATAACATATTTTTAATAGTTACACAATGACATCTTCCAAAAATAATTGCACTTCGAATTCTATAGATAGATTCAGGATGTTAAATATTATTAAAAAGATCTTATCATCTTCATTATATTCTTCATCTAAAAAAAAATAAAAACAAGAATATAAAGAACAAAATGTTTTTATATATTATTAATCCCAAGAAAAATAAAATTTGCATAAAATATATAGAAAGTTATATATTCTTTAATTATGATTATAAAAGTAATCTTACCAAACTTAAATTCATGCCTAAGCTTTATACCATAATTAATCAAGTATTTGAAAAGAGTAGTAGCTATGTCTACATGTTCACAAGCACACTTGAAAAGAGATAAATTTGATTTTATTATATCTGCTGCTTTAAGAAATCTATAAACATATAATTAAAAATGAGAGATTAAGACTACCTTGAGTATAATCTCATATATTTTATGTCTTAGAATTGAGCTTATTTACCTATCTGAGAAATCATTAACATCTGGAATTCTTACGTCTTTGGATAAAATAGATATTTTCTTAAGTGCTTCCTGAAATATATATGAAAAGTAGCATTATATAGTTTTGCAAAAAATATAAATTGACAATATATTTATTTACTACACACACACACACACACATATATATATATATATATATATATAAATGTTAATATTCACTTTTTTGTAGTTGCCATATTCCAGATTAATATAGTGCTCATCCAGAGCTTGTAATCGCGCATCCATGATTATTACAATCACAATTGCAACTTAATATTTTAAAAAAATTAAAGGTACATTACAAAGGCAACCGATTATTGCACAAAAATGTAAAGAACGTGTAAAAATGATTACGTTTTTGTACAAAAAAATATTTCAATATGGATCAATCGAGAGTTATACAAGGCACTTTATAGCTGATATCGTTGGTAGTACGTCTCACTATTTATCATTATCGCAGAATGCAATATGTTTACAATATCTAACTCGCTGACTGCTATCATGCTGTTCGTAACAAATTTATATAGATGGCTCTCTCTGTCACGTGATGCGCCAGATAGGGAAAATATACAAAGGAGACGAAAAATAATCTCATATTTCTTTCCAGAAGCAAAAAACGATTGCCTTTTCTCTCAATGGGTGATTATAATACATTTCTGAAGCTCCGGAAGTTTTATTCAGCTCCAACAAAAAATCAATGTACAATTTTTAATAAAAAGAATCACAATTTTAAAGCTTTATCAATTGTTGATAATATTTTGATAATAAGAGAAATACATTTCGTTAGATGGCGCGAAGATATAATTTCGAGGCTACTTTTCTTGTAGGCGAACAATGCCGGTAAGGTAAATAATCTTTAACATACAATTCTACAATTTCATAATTTGTTATTGTAAGGCTCTGCGCACAGTGGAAAAATTAGGAATAGGAATAAATATTAAATTTTGAAAATTCGAAATAGAAATTAAACATAACACATAACAGTAACAAACACAAGTAAATTTAAGATATAGCTATATCTTATTTGTGTGCATTATGTCCTTTTATTCCAAATTTTCATTTCCAAAATTTAATATTTATTTTAAAAATTTGCTCCATTTTGCGCTAAAAGTGCCTTTTTAAAGAAGCATCAAAAGGCACCTTAAAATATAATAAATTTTATAACATATTTCACGTAACATATTTCAGCGATGCATTGCAATAAAATTCTATTTACGTTATAGGAACGTTGCAATTATTACAAATATCACTATGCATGGAAAAGTATTCTAAGGAGAAATAAAAAGGACCCAGAAATAAAATGATGTTCCTCGATATTTATTTCTTACATCTCTGCAGAGAGCTACATGTTAAATTATATGGATACAAATCATGAAGACAACCACACGTTGCACTGAGCCCTTATATATCGTGGAGATAAATAATTGAAAGTAGAAGAGAAAAAAACAATTATATATTTATAGTTTTTAATTTCAAGGCACATATTCATTCTACTCGATGAATCACGACC